TCGCATGGCTATGTCAGCATGTAGGTTCCGCCGATCCCCCTCGTTTAATTCGATCTTGTGTAATAAGTATGTATATACATATCTACTGCGGCCTCGAGTCAAGCGCGACACTGAACCCCAGTATTTGTTCTTTAATTCTTAATAGCTTAAGCATATCTTATGTATATGATTATATTAAGGCCTATACGGATAAGTTCTAAGCCTTCGCTTCTGATCCAATAATACTACCTGAACTGCTGTGGGGGTCTGGATCGGCTTCGCAGTCTGGAAACCAGGTTCGGATAAGTATATAACTGCCATGGAGGATTCGCTTGTTTCTTGGGCCAGGTTGCTAATCGATCGATGTCGCCACCAAATCCATTGCCTCGGCTTTGTACTTTACGAGCTAGATAGAATCTGTATAAGATCTAGGATAGATCTACTATATGTACATATAGATAGATAGATCGAGACTTCAACCTGTGGCACGTCCAGCAGCTAGATGCTAGCTGCTAGCTACATAACAGAGTCAATTCATTAATACATTCATGCAATGACTGCAGCTGGCAGACTTGACAATTGCATGTATTTTATCATTAGATCATGTAGGTGCATATATACAATATAAATTAACCGAACCGTGTGTGCTGTCAACCCTTGCTTATATAGCTTAATTCTGGCCCCCGGCCCATGCTACCCTTTTCTGGTCCAGTCTCCGGGCCTTCGTGAACGAATCGGTTATATATATATATATTTATATATACATATATATATATATATACTGCAAAGATTTATACTGGAATTTTGATATAATATGTACATATATATATACATATATATATATATAATATTGATATCAATATTATTTTTCATGATGTTAATATAATATAATGCACGTTCAGATTAAAGTGAAAAACTTAATATGAACATTGATAAACAAATATTAGTATCAATTGTTAAGTGATATTGTTTGATATTGAATTAATTTTTTCATACATATTAATTGAATTAGTATATATTAATAGTAATATGAGTACGAATACGATGAATATTATTCATAGCAAATTGATGTTATTAATCCTGATAATGATTAATATTTAATATATATTTACAATTTTTTATCATTAGATATTAAATAAAATATCCATCCTAATACTTATATATTATAATTATATATTATTATTATTATATTATCATATTATGATATTAATATTAAGTAAATTGTGTTACCTATTCATTATTAATATATTGATATCAATATATTAATATACTCATATTAATGATAGTAATAATAAAAAAATATAATATAAGATAATATATATATATATATTATATGGTATTACATTCTTCTATACGAACTAATATTTATAACATATATGCATATTATCATATTATGTATTATCCTATGATTATAATATTATATATAAATATATATTATCAGTATATATAAATATGAATAAATAAAAATCATGATTTAAAAATTAAATATATATATATATATATATATATATAGTAATTACGTAATACTAGTATATATACCTAAGCTTTGTAGATATATTTACTATATATTATACTATATATATAATAGTTTTTTGTAACGCTTTTTTTCTGGTCCTCCTGCCTGCTCGGGGCTCTGCTACGCCTTTTTACTGGTCTTCTACGCCTTTTTACTGTTCTTCTACGCCTTTTTACTGTCTTTCTACGCCTTTTTACTGTCTTTCTACGCCTTTTCACCGTCCTTCTACACATTTTTTGTCTTTCTACGCCTTTTTATTGTCTTTCTACGCCTTTTTACTGTCTTTCTACGCCTTTTTACTGTCTTTCTACGCCTTTTTACTGTCTTTCTACGCCTTTTCAGCGTCCTTGTACACATTTCTGTCTTCCTACGCCTTTCTACTGTCTTTCTACGCCTTTTTACTGTCTTTCTACGCCTTTTTACTGTCTTTCTACGCCTTTTTACTGTCTTTCTACGCCTTTTTACTGTCGTTCTACGCCTTTTTGCTCTTCTTGCTAGCTATATACATTCCTTTCCTACGCCTGTTTCCCATTTGCGTCTTTCTACGCAATTTTGCATCGATCTATCTAAGCTATATAATATAATCACGCCAGCTTATAAATAAATACCGATTTGTACAGCTCATGTATTTTAATGCATATTTAATTATAATATAATATATATAAGTATTATATATTAATTATAATATAATATACATACATATATATATATATTATAATGCAACGCATGCAATGTCCTGCCAGTTACTAATTTAGCGCTATTATATTATAATTTGAGCTGCAGAATATTATATATATATATAATTAATATAATAATACTATACTAGCTACAGCAGCGACACTTACGATTCAGGTATAATAATATGTATATATATATATACGCTATATACGCACGATAGTCTATATAAAAAGTTAATATATGCATGTATATATATATTATATATATATATATACATATATGGCATATATATATATATTTCTATATATATATATATATATATATATATGCCAACACATACATACATACTGTATATATACACACATACATGTTCTTTTTGTCGGCCATGAATATGCGTATATTAATTATATATATATATATACACGCTATATACGCGCATATATATATATGTGTGTATTTTATATCTGTACATTACATAAAGCTACGCAGAGTCAGTCAACCATAGTCCGATCATATTCAATTATATATTAATATATATAAATAAATAAATTGCATGAAATGATTTAATTCTAATTAATATATACTATAATATATAATATAATATAATATCATATAATATCATATATATATATATATATATCCATATTATATAATCAATGACGCCAAATCAAGCCACCAGGGCAACAACATAAGAATGCCATGCTGCCCAACGCCGAAAAATAGCCAGCCATTAGGTCCTGAGCGTTTTTTTTAATTTAGCGTCCTTCTGAAAAACCCTCGAAAGTAGGCCAAAACACAAAGACAGTAAACAGGCGTAGAAAGACAGTAAAAAGGCATAGAACGACAGTAAAAAGGCGTAGAACGACATAGTTTTGCAAACCCTAAAAATTGACGTGAACCTTCCGACAAGTTCCGACGCTGTGCGTGCCCGATTCAAAATACCGGCCCAGATCAAACGCATCAAAACAAACAAGAACGCAGAAACGAAACCAACATCAAGGACGCAGATTTGCCGAGCCCCATCAGATCAGAGCAGTGTCGAGTGAATCAGCCCCATTGCCGGCGCCTTCTGCTGCAGCTGCTGAGCATGGTCATGCTTTATATAAACGCACAGGATGTTATGCGTTTTGTCGATCGTGATTCATACCGTGCTACAGAAATATTTGCAACTTGTACCAAGCAAGCAGTAGATCCAGCCAGGGATCCATCGTTTAATATAGATTTATTTAGTGGCCAATTGGGTTTGCAGGGTACCTGATCAGGCCGCTTGTCCGGAAGGCCTACCTACGCTTCATACGGTACTACAGTAGACATGTACATTACATTACATATTATATACATATCGATATCTATATACACATATATATATAATGTGTTCGCAACTACAAATTAACAGGTTCTTGAGAATCCTCGATCAAATGCGTTTGCTCTATATAGATCTACTACATTGGTATATGTGTGAATAACCTTGACTAGACTCCATCCCTGGATACAGTTTTAATTAACGACGTATATCAGTTGGCCGAAGCCGAATGCTTGTCTTTTCAGGGCTGCTGTGTCCCAACGACATACTTAATTATAAGGCTTCGAGGCATCCTTGCAGGGATGGCGCCATCCGCTGCAGTCCGGCAAGCCATGGAAGCAGCCCAGCAGTTGAAGAAGATGGCTGAGAGCAGGTGGGCCCATCCTTGGATAGGGTGAGGAATCCATGTAGGGAAGTGACTACGAACTAATCGATAATATATTATGTTTGCTAAACACAGCTAAAACCAAGAATTCATTCCCCATGAGCTTCTATCGGGTCTGGGATCAAAGGACTGAGGCCTACTGACCTGAGGACTGTAGGTTTCCGTGAGCATGTGCGCACGACATGACTGTATATTTGTGTGTGTTTTCTCGAGTGTGTGTGCTCAAGCTAGCAACCTAAGGTGAAGGGGGCCGATATGCATACGTGTATGTCTGTGCCTGTGTACAGGGATAGATGATGTATATACACACACATATATATATATACATATCTGTATATATACATATTTATCTAGATATGCATGTACATATATTGATTTGTTAACTTATTCGTTTCTCCTGTATATATGTATATACATACATACACACATGCAGATGCCCAGGAGCCAGTTTTGTGGAGATAAGTTATAAACAGAAGGAGTCCTGGGCTTAGGAGCTCGAAAGATCGTTTATAAGTGCTTAAAACCCCAAGGCCTGAAAACTTAAAACACCAAACCGCAGAACTCCAAGCCCTAAAACCCCAAAGCGCAAAGCCCAGGCCCTAAAACCCTAAAACCCCAAAACCCCAAGCCCTAAACCCATACAGCTGCAAACCCCCAAACCCCAAGGCCTACAATGCTGAAGCCCCAAACCCCAGCACTCCAAGAACCTCCCAAAAAACCCCAAACCCAAAACCTAATGGCCAAGTTTGCAAGCCAAAAGCCCGAAACCCCAAAATTCGAAGCCCTAGCCCTAAATAACTTGCAAACCCGAAACCCGGAGGCCTAAAACCCTAAAGCCCCCAAGCCCAAGCCCGAACCCCTGAAGCCCCACTTCCCAAAACATCCCCAAGCCCTCAAACCCTAAAGTCCGAAACCCAACATTGCAAAAGCTTGTCTCGTGCAGACTAGACCCTAAACCAGGACGAAGACTTCGCCACCTGATCCAGCTGCTGCTGAGAATCCAGGCCGGTCAATAGTTGTAAGTTATACTAGATATATAACTAAGGGCAAATCATCGACTGGGTTGCTTCGTGAAACAATCCTCGTCCTAATCCCATGGCCCATTTTTCTATCCACAATAGCAACCCCAGTGTGTGGGGATGATCATCATGACAGGAGAAGAAGTGAAGACGGATGGTTCACCTGTACCTGCGAGCACGCCACCAAAGACCCCAGCACCTGTGACCAGACGAACCTCCGACCTCAGCACGGATCGTAGCAGTGCAACGAAACAAAGCCTCCCCGGCTCTTTGAAAGCCAAAGCCAAGGCTCTCATGAAACCCAGAGGAAAGCTTAATAAGGGCACAAAGATGAAAGGAAAAGGAAAAGGAAAGGGCAGCAAGGACCAGGCCAGCACACGGCTCCGTGGCAAGCAGCCTGCCCCACAGAACATCGGTGAGAATGGAGATGCAGCTGCAAAGGTCCAAGAGGCCCTGCAGAGGGCCAGCACCGCTGATCAAATGAAGACCCCCGAGCTCAGTGGCTTGCCGAACAAGAAGAAGAGTAAGAAGCAAGAGATGACAGATGCAGAGAAAGCCCAGCTAGCATTGCTGAAGGTGAACCCAGGCCTGAAGGCTGCAGCAGCTGTGGCTGCCACGGCTCAGACCTCGGAGGAGGAATCTGAGCAGAAGCCAGAGGAGGCATGCCGGAAGAAGAAGGGACAGAATCGCAAGGAGTATGCGAGGAAGCGCGCCTCATTCTACAGAAGCTTGATAAGTCGGGCGCCTAATTTCTCGTATAGATCAATTCAATATTTCATGACTTTCAGTCTCCAGCTTCGAGACCCTGGTAGTTGCAGTTGCCACCCCGCAAGTATTCAGGCTCTCGCACACCCTTTGAAATCCGTGCTGCTGGATTCGAAGCCACTGGAAGCTTCATGGCTGCAGATACCAAGATAAAGATATTACCACACCAGGGATGCTTGAAATCAGTGTGACTGAGCTTCATGCGTTTGGTAATGCAAGTACTGTTGAACATGTACCATGGCTCCATAATTTATGAACTGTAAAACACCAAGGCTCGAGTATGAGGATACCCAAGCAAGCTTTGTATTGTTATCTGAACATTATATATAAATCTGTATGTAGCCAGATGCTCATCTTGGGATGATGCAATTGTGCAGGTTCTTCGACCCTTGACGGGATTTGCTGTTTGGGTAAGGGATATTGAAAATCCGGGTGTTAGTACAATAGCCCCTAGGGCCCTTAGATAGATGACCCTGAACACCCACAGTGACCCCACACGAAATGAGTTCCTGGAGCCCGCCTGGCCTCTAGAATCGACTTCCCAGGATACTCTTCTAGTCAACCTGAACGGCCCTAAACCTGTCTTCCTTGGACCTCCTAGTCTTGATGAGGTTTGCGAGAGTGTTCGAATAAAAAAGATTGAACATCAAGCCTCAATGCCTAGCAATCAATCCCAAATCTCCAACCTTACACCCTCTAGGCCTATTGCCCAGCCAACCTGTTCAAGCCAAAGCCTCATGTCCAAGCCAAGTGTCGCGGCTTCACCTCTGGCTGTGGGGATGTCTTACCTTTGATTGTAGAATTCCTATACCAATATGTGGGTGTGTGTGTGTGACTTTATATGTATATATGTGTTTATATACATGCATGTGTATATATATATATATATATATATGTATACATATACATATACATATACATATACATATACATATACATATACATATACATATACATATACATATACATATACATATACATATACATATCTATTACACATATATATATATATATATACAACTACCCATTTTCTTCATTCCTATCCATTTATATGTTACAAAGGTACGTACAGGCTTTCAAGCTTCGATAATTATCACATTTGTACATCGTTTATGTGCCTCGATGGTGGCTTCAGTGGGTTTCCCACTTCTTCTCGAGCCACACGTGTTGC